ACAACTCAAAGATTATTATTGAAGACATTGAAGACCAGTGAATTTTTTTTTATTAGTTAGTATTTTTATGAGTTTTAGGAATAATATAGGATAGAGAGATAATATTATTATAAGCACAAAAAAAATTTTATCTCTTTTCCAAAATCACTTTTGAGATATTTTAATTAAATATTTTAAAGTAAAAAAGCTTAATCATTGTCCTTCACGTAAATCCAAATGAAAAGGTTTTTGACAAAATATTTTGGAGGCTATTAAATGTATTTTCTTCAAAAGTAGTTCTATTTCTGACAGAGCTGACACATTCTAATAAAAAGCAATACTGTTTTCTAAAACTGTCTCTTCATATGTCCAATTTTGCCTCTGTGTGTGCAAAAAGGTGATCTAATAACTTTTTTAAATATATCCCATGCACTGCCTTTTTAGCTTACCATGTTAGAGGCACATCTTGCCTTTTAAGGTTATACCCAACATTATTTATAATGGGAATATCATTTCCTTTTTGTATAAAAATGTCACCCTCTCTAAAACTTATTGGCAAGAGTAAGAGTTCATAGTATCAAATATTTCATATGGATTTGTGTAACCTGTTGTAGGCTAGAGAGACTTTTTAATGAAAAATATTTGTGTATAGGTTAGGTTGAAAAGCTATTTTATGAAGGGTATCAAGCAATATTCTCCTTTAGTAAGATTTTAATGTCTTAATTTTGAGTTTTCTATATTCTCCTTTAGTAAGATTTTAATGTCTTAATTTTGAGTTTTCTATTCTCTGTAAATTAAACAGTAGAGGTCGACTAGAACCTTTGAAAATCTAGTGGGTTAAAGGTTAGATCTATGTTTCTGATTTATTTCCTCGTAATGTTGGTTTGTCTCTTATCCTTTAAAAGATATAACATAGTGAAAGATCTCAAGATGGAAAGTGGATGTAGGCGACTTAGTGTCGAACCACTATAAATCATTGTGTTAATCTTTTTTTTATTTTTGAAGTCTTGTTTGATCTTATTCTAATTACACGTCTGTTTATATTTTTTGAAATGCAAAGTTGTTTATGATGCAAAGTTGTTTATGATTTTCTAATTCTAGAGTGTAAAAGCTTTATGTTTATGGACTAATAGAATTCTAGATTTCAGTATTATAATTTCTCCAAATTTTAATTTATCCTAATATATTAAGAATAAATCATAAAATGAATTATAATCAGTTTTCTAATCTTTCATAAGTTTTGTGAGAAAGTTATAATTGTGATAACTAACGCTCATAAAGTCTTTCTATTTTCATTGCTTTAGAATTCTGACTTGAGTTTTAAAAGTTAATTTTTAGAAAGCCCAATTCACTTCTCTCTTGGACTGTGCCATATAAAATGGGACCCACAAATATGATAAATTTTATTGTATTTAAAATTCTAAATTCATGTTACGTCTCAATCAAATCTAAAATATAAAATAATTCATAAATTTAAAATATATACAAATTAGATTCTACCGTTCATCATTCAATCAAATTACCTAAGAGGATTATTTAAATGACAAAAAAAAGAAAAGGAAAAATGCATAACATCCTTCGTAAAGTTTTTTGTCAAAAGCAATATTCACAACCTGCGCATTACGCGGGCTCATGACTAATACTGAATAAAAGAGAGCTCTTGAATTTTTTTTTTTTTGGACTGTGCCATATAAAATGGGACCCACAAATATGATAAATTTTATTGTATTTAAAATTCTAAATTCATGTTACGTCTCAATCAAATCTAAAATATAAAATAATTCATAAATTTAAAATATATACAAATTAGATTCTACCGTTCATCATTCAATCAAATTACCTAAGAGGATTATTTAAATGACAAAAAAAAGAAAAGGAAAAATGCATAACATCCTTCGTAAAGTTTTTTGTCAAAAGCAATATTCACAACCTGCGCATTACGCGGGCTCATGACTAATACTGAATAAAAGAGAGCTCTTGAATTTTTTTTTTTTCTTTATTTCATCTATAATATAGAAAAGTTGAAAATGAAAATGATAGCAAATAAGCTCAAATAGCCATTTTTTAATTAATTCAAACTTTTATAGTCTATTTTTTAATTAATTCAAAAAGAAAAAGCTTTCTTATTTGATATTTGTTAAATACTATAATTTCATACTCCCACTACTTTCGTTAAATTAGAATTATAAAAAAATTTTAAAATACAACAATGTGTAAATAATCCAAATAATTGTACACATCCTCTCCAAACAATCAAAGAGAAATAATATATTTAAAAATTTTATTTTAGTTTCATTGTAATTAACTAATAGAGTACTAGTAAAATGTTTAACCATATTTTAAAAAAATTCATAATATCGTAAATTAAAAGAATTTAAGGCTCCATTTGTTTCTGAAAAATAACTTGCAGAAAAATTTTTTCTTTTAAAAATATTTTATAGAAAAACACATTATTTTTCGACGATTGGCTTTACATAAAACATTTTTGGAAAATATTTTTCAACATTTGATATAACATCAAACAATTTAATTTTTCATCATGTAAATAATGTATTTTCACCTATTATATTATTCAAAAGAAATATATATTAAAGATAAATTTAATAATTAGATTTTCTATTTAAAATGTATTCTTATAGTATCAATATTACAATGATGATTAATTTAGTCTAATAATGTGATTTAAATTTTTCAATTAAATATTTAACAATACAGTGTATATCTTGTTAAGATAATTTAACAATATATAAGTACCATAATTACTTTAAAATGTATAGCTAAAATATATATTTTAAATGGTATGAGCATAAACATATTTTAAAAAATGTATTGTTAAAATAATTTAATAATTATTTTAAAATAATCATGTTGCAAAAAGTATTATGTAAAATATATTTTAAATGGTATGGACCTATTAATAAATTATTTTAAATATTTCTTCCAAAAGAAACTACTTGACACATTTTTGACACTTCTAAAGAGATTGTAGGGCCTCAATTGTATCTCTTCGAGGGGTCGAGCGTTCCTTGGTGGACCGAAAAGACCAGTTTTGAATTATCAAATAAACTAGGAAAATGCTTTCCTATGTGAACAAGGTTAAGTCATTTTCCTTAATTGCTAACTTATTTTCCATTGACCAACAACTTATTTTCCTTAACTTATTTAGCTCTAAGTTATTTTATAGAAAAATTATGGGAAATTATGGAAAATATTTTACTTTAAATTATTTTACAGAAACAAATGGATCATAAATTTCATTTTCAATACTTGAATTAAGATTTTCGATTTACCTCCTAAAAGCAATATCATGTAAGAATATATAATTAAGAATATTAAAAGCATTGGGCAGTAATATTGCAAAATCAAATAGAGATTATACAATATATATTTTCTCAAATTAAATGCATGAAACATCTAACTAAAAGAATATTCAATGGATAAATGGAATCTTTTTTCTCCAATTAAAATGATAAAAAATCTAACTAAAAGGATATATTAGGAATTCCATATTAAACTAAGAGTATTATAGAAAATTTCATTATTTCTTCTGTTTCCATATTTATATATATTGTAATAATATAAAGTACAATAATAAAGTATAATAAATAATATAAGGATAAATAGAATCTATTTTCTCCAATTAAAATACAACTAAAAATGATCTTTAAAAGAATAAATGGACTTATTTTCTCCAATTAAAATACATAAAAAATCTAACTAAAATGTTATATTAGGAATTACAAATTAAACTAAAGCTATTATAGCAAATCATATTATTCTCACATCTATATATAGTATAAATTATAGATAAAAAGACCAGTGATTCAAAAAAGATAACAATAAATTTTCATGATAAAGTTCAAACAAAAATCTTTCAAATAATAGAAAAGTTTTGAAAAGTTAAACAAAAAAATGATTGATTTGATATTTTAAAAAACAATTACAGTGATTGGTGAAATTGTAAATATAGTAGATATCCAATTTGAGTAATTATTGTTATAAAAATTCACGTTTTGATATGTTTAATTTGTGGACTTCAGCAATGCCTACTATCTGCCGCGCTACACTGCAACATATATTTCAAGCCACAAACAAAATGTATCAGCAAATCTAAATGCCATCGTTACGAAAATGTGTCGGCAGTTTACGAGGCTCTCCTCTTTGCAATTGGCATATTTACTGAATAAGATTTGAAGTTATTTTTAAGTTTCTGAGGAAAAATTGCAGTTTGCATATTTTTAATATTCAAACAACTTATACATGCTCGGGATTATCCGTTTTAATTCGAGCCAATTCGAGCCATTTAATCCAACTCAATCAACTCACGGATTTTTGCAAATATAATGGGTTGAATTGGATCACGGGTTCACTAGATAAATTCGCAGACTCAATCTGTGAATAATATATATCAATGTAATTATAAATTATTTAAGTTAATTTAATTTGATTTGCAATTTTTAGTATAAATACTAAATTATTTATATATTTGGTTACTTTGCCTTTTAATTGTTGCTTTCTCTTTTTGGTAATTAAAACCTTGTTTTGAGATATTGCTATTGAAATATACGGTAGTTTAAAACAAATTTTATAATTATATTATAAGTATTTTTAATTTTGTTAGTTGTTTCCATATTATTATTTAGAGGTATAATTTTAATGTTGTTATTCGAATATGTTTATGGTTTATAAAAATTATTGTATAATTATATCTTTAAGTTTAATCTTTTTTTGTAATTTCTCTTAAATAATTGTTTTTTATTTTAAATTATTTTTATTATTTATCATTTATTTCATCCGCAGATTTATAATAAATCTAATTTCAATCTAACATATTCATGATCGGTGGTTTCATACATTTAATAGGTTGGCTAAACAAATATTAACCCGCACATATTAAGATACTTTAAATCGATAAATTGGTTCCATATGTAACACTATGGGACCATATCAGATATTTTTCAATTTTTGAATCTATTTTGATGATCCAAATAAGTTAAATTGTTAATGTGCAACTAACTCACCTGATCCCAACTCTTAAGGGATATGGTATCAGCATCTGCAGCAAACCAGCTTTCCATTCTACATAAGTACCATTGAAGAACTTTATGTGCGAGCCCTTCCAACCTGCACCTTAAAACCAATTTCATAAGAATCTATTTTAATTTTATTATCAACAAACATCTTTTTTATTATCAAACCTTAATTCTGGTCTTCGTTCAAAAACGATTGAGAAAGCACTAAGTATGGACATGTCTTCATTTTGCTCGAGTCTTATTTTCTCTGTCTGCATTCCAAACATGAACAGCTATTCAATTTAGTAGGATAGCAGAAAAAACAAACAGACAAGACATGATTCTAAATGGGAAAATAAGAAACAAATAAGATATTAAAGAAAAAAGTTGAAAATCTTCCATTAACACTATCTCTTTGTTCATGCAAGAAAGAGACCAACCAAAAACAGAGAAAGGACAAAGGTAGAAGAAATTCAAGCAAAGATTCCAGTGAAAAATTATGGAAAATAGAATATAATTGTTAGTTAAATGAATAAATATAATTATTTAATGTATTTAATTACTTCTAAGATATTAGATGGCCGTGGGACACTTTCGAATGAGTAATGCTTACCACTTATCGGTTGTCTTGTTTGAGAAATAGTTTCACAAAAATGAAGACCAACCGGAGTAACTTACTCAAAAATATAAGTCGTTTTTAGGTTAATATTTTGTCCCAAAATAATACTCATTCCGTTCTAAAATATTTGTTTACTCGACTTAAAATGATATTTATTTTTTCTTTATACCCCTCATTATAAATGGTTTTAAATTTTAAGAATAACTTTTTTTGTTGTTTTAAAGGAGGATAATTTTGAAAAGTATGAATATTTTGTATGATGTGACACTATATTTAATTTGTTGCTTAAACTTTATGCAAAAATAACATGGTAAACATTTTAGGACGGAAAGAATAGCCGTTTTGAGTGTTTTAAAGAGTAATAAATGATTTTTTTTTTTCAATTTTACCCTTATTTATAAAAATACAATAACTATTTTCACATCTTTTTAAAACCATCCTTATCATCTTCTATGTTTAATTAATTATCACAATTGTAAAGTTGAGTTCCTATTGCTCAATTTTCTAAAATCTATTGAAGGTTGTGGCGATACATATTCTTTCCTTCTATAAGCATATTTTGTAAAATGAATAAACAAAAAGCGTTATTTTCTTAGCATCAATGGAGTTTGAAGATTCATTCGAGAAGAAAATCATGAAAGTTTCAATGGAGATTGAAGATTCATTTGAAATTTTGTGTTGTAGTCATTTTGTTTCTTGTCTTATGAATTTGGAGGACTCTTAGTGTTTTACTATTTAAATTTTTGACTGAATAAAACTTATAATAATTAATCTTTTAGTTTTTTTAGAAGAAAGAGACCCTCTTTTAATTAATCATATAATTATAGTGGTGTATTATTGGAGAGAAAATTATTAAGAATTGAGATAGAAGTAACGATGTAAGATAAATGGTAATTTGGTCAAATTATTTTTGATTTTGTTATAATTTAGGTAAATTAATTGCTTTCCTAATTTTCGTATAAAAACTTTAAATAACTTATATTTTACGACAGAATGAGTATAATTTATTTATTTAAAAGGTATAAATAAATAAATAAAATTAATTTTATTTAACCCAGGGTTTGGATTAATTTTACTAGTTATACCTGAAATACATGTGGTGTCATATTATCTATCATTCCTTAAAAAATCAATTTGTCATGAAAAAATTTATGAACTTTAATTTGGTGTGGAAAAACACCTTTGCCTATTAACATGCTATCAGTCCGACATGGAGGTATCTCATATAATTTAAACGTTTAAAACATGTGGGGTCAGACTCATTATCCAAGAACTCTCTCTTTCCTCCACGTGGGCACAATCAAATTGCCTGTCTCCTCCTCTTTCGTTTAACATATTTTTTTTGTCTACAACCTATCAATTTGAATAACGATAAGAATTTGATATCCAATTATTCTTTTTCCAGGGATATTCAATTTTTTACTTTTATTTTGATTTCCTTGTGCTTTGATTTGATTTGAGGAGGAGATGTAAGTGAGGAGATGGGTTCTTGAAAATCAAATGGGTTGAGTTATTGAAGCCATTGATGAATGTTAGGCCTTAGGTTGATTTGCTTTGCCATTATGGCTGTAATGATAGGGTATTTTTGTCTTTTGCATGATTTTAACAGAAAATTTTGGCAAAATAGATGGAAGGACTAAGCTTCAAATGAAGATAAATTTTGAGGACTGTTAATTGATATTATCAAACTGTAGGAATGAGTTAGTTAATTTGGTCAAACGTCAGGGATTAAACTACAGGGATAAGTTATTAAAATAGTTAACAACTACCAGTTAATATTGCCGAACAGACCCTACGTTTATAATATGAAACGATGAAAACCAACAATAATAAAATTGTAAAATTCCAAAAACCAAAAAGGTATAAGGGAATAAAAGCATACGCGCCTCTTTTAAGATGCTTTCAAATGTTTCGCCAACCTTAGTGACCAATTCTTGAGGAACCTGGTTCCCATCCTTATCAAAGAGTGCATAGCTGCAGAAACATAATACAATTAACTATAACACATCAGCAAACGCCACCCACAGCTTTGATGTATTAAATTAAATTTAAATCAAGGCTAATGACTGAAACATTATAACCCTTGTTTATTTTGTGAAAATTGTACCTTTTTCTAACTACTTCTACTGAAAATTTTCCCATCTTATTTATCAATTCATTTTACATCTCCATTTGCTCTTAACAACTAGAACTTTTTCTATTTTTCCATCTATTTTTTGTTGGTAATATTAAATTATCGATAAAAATTAAGGAAATAGCGATAATTTTTTTATTGTAATTCTTTTTCTTTTTTTTTACTGTAATCCTCTTGTATTTAGAAATATAATAAATCCAACAAGTGGATTAGGACTTCTAGCACAAGTGGATTTGACAATTAGTTTAAATGCTTGTAGAATGCATCATTATTTATAGAATATATGTTTTTATTTCTTCAATGTTTTATTTGTATCTCACTTTAGAAATTAAATTTTAAAACAACTTCCATACAAGCAAGTTATTAAAAAAACAAAAATAAACGATATTGATTTTGTTTTTTTTGTGTATAATTGTCAGTATCCAAAAGCCCAATGAACGCTAATTATGTCCGGTTTGAGTAGTATACGAAATTGTTTTACCTTTCAAGATCATGTTCATACAACACTGAATTACCATCACTCGTTCGGTATAAGGGTAGTTCTAGCCTCCCAATCAATGGGGCCAAAGGATTCTCCTTGCAGACACCATGCAACCTGAAATATGGTCATCGAGATAAAACTTCTAAAGGGAAAGGGAAAGGGAAAAAAAAAAAAAAAAGGAGAAAAGAACCTTAAAAGAACAGTTTGGTTTACCATGATGCACCAAGGTCAACAGGAAAACCAAATGAGAAATCTGTATGCACCCTACCACCAATTCTGTCACGAGATTCCAACAAAACAACCTGACAAAAAAAAAAAAAAAAAAAAAAAAAAAAAAAAAGTTCCGGTATAAGGGTAGTTTCTAGCCCTCCCCTCCCAATCAATGGGGCCCAAAGGAATTCTCCTTGCCAGCACCATGCACCTGAAAATTGGTTCATCGAGAATAAAACTTCTAAAGGGAAAGGGAAAGGGAAAAAAAAAAAAAAAAAGGAGAAAAGAACCTTAAAAGAACAGTTTTTGGGTTAACCAATGAATGCCAGCCCAAGGCAGAACAGGAAAACCCAAATGAGAAATCCTGTAATGCCACCCTAACCACCAATTCTTGTTCACGAGATTCCCACACAAAACAAACCTGACAAAAAAAAAAAAAAAAAAAAATAAAAAAAAAAAAAGGACTATCATGTAACAATTGCATATATATATGATATATATGTGGTGTGGTGGTGGAAGAAAAACTATCAAGATTTTAAGTTTCCCATATTTAATTTTTCAGGATTTTCATATTAAAAAAAAAAAAAAAAAAAAAAAAAAAAAAAAAGGACTATCATGTAACAATTGCATATATATATATATATATGTGTGTGTGTGTGAAGAAAAACTATCAGATTTAGTTTCCATATTTAATTTTCAGGATTTTCATATTAATGATTTAGTTTCCATATTTAATTTTCAGATTCCATATTTACTTTCAATTCAATTTCCAAATTTTCTAATTGAATTTTCCTATAATTAGTTCATATTTGTGACATTTCGAAGCGACAAAGCAATTCTAAAAGATCGGGTAGAGCGACACTTCTAATTATCTTTTAAGATAACAGTCTATTTAGAGCAGTGGAATGCGAGACATAGGCATAAACCGGATCATATATCAAAAAAGGAAAATTAAGTATCAGAGGCGCTTTTTGGTGGAATAATTTAAAGAGTTGGAAGAACTCTGAAATTAAGTATGCGCTTAAAGAAAATCTTAAGATAGGTGCTCACTTAAGGAAAATCTTATCAATGTAGTATGAGATTCAAAGTGGATGATTCATTTGGTAGTTGGAGTTAAACGTGATAATATTGTAGTTTGATTTGTTGATATAAGGCTCTTGGTGATATATCAGTGGTTGATATATATATATATATATATATAGGCACCTCAAAATGATAGTCTTATTTGAAGAGTTGAAAAATGATGTAACATCCAAAACTTATGTCACACATTAAATAACATGATGAAGTAGTGATATGCCTTTTTCTATTTCTCAAATCATAAGGACGCATGTAAAAGACTAAAGTACAACACAGTGATTACATGTTATGGGAAAAGGGAATAGGCCGGACCCAGTACGCATAAAGGTCATAGAATCCAAAAACCTAAACCATAATTAACGATACACTATTTAGAGTTACAAACAACAAAAACGGGCACAATCTTAAAATTCCAGCCAACTCAAATTAGCTCGCTCAAGGCATATATTTCAATTGTAGAGCTAACATACTCATCAACAAACTCAAATTCACGCGTTACAGGTCAGAGAACAATACATACAGCAAATTTAGTTTGCTTGGTATCATGTGGCAAGCTAATTACTGTAAAACATACTAGCTCTTTAGCCATACCTGAAATGAAGCATCCTGAAGAGCACGAGCTGCTGCAAGTCCCGCAATACCACCACCTATCACTATAACTGATGATGAGGATGCCTGCTTCCTACCAGTATCTGAATAACAAGGAGCTACAACTTAAATTTATACATATCATTGCTATCTACTTATAATTCTAGCCACTAAATTTGACTCGGCCAAAACAAGCATTGTCAATTGTCAATTGTCAATTTATTCCTTTCTCGAAAGATCATTGGCACTATGCAGGCTCTCCGCAATAATCATAACTATTCCCTTGAGTCAGGTTCTTTATTATTGAGATAGGTGATTTCTTAATAAAAATAATACTAATAAACAAGCCACTAACACAAAATTAACCATGATTACACAAACCTCTAAGCAATTGAGGGCGATTACTCCTGAATCCAGACTCCATAACCCAATGATAATTGAATTTGGTTATTAAAATTAGAATTAGGATTTCAATTACCACTAATTATTGATGATGAGGATGAATGAAGGAGAAGAAGAATAAAAATCAAATGTTGTATTATCAAAAAGAAACCCTACTCCCACCTTTTCTCTAACACCCACTAATTATAGATATATTAATGGATTTTCAATTTAAATTTAGCCGCAATGCTAAATCGACAAATCAACAGTCAAGTCAAGTAATTAGTGAACCAACGAGAGATGCTTGTAATTAGTTTTTTTTACAAAGAGGAGTTAATTGGAAGATAAAATATCATATTTAGTTTCCATATTTTCATGTTAAGATTTAGTTTCCATATTTAATTTTCAGATTTCATATTTACTTTCAGGTTTAATTTCTAAATTTTTTAATTGAATTTTTCTATAATTAGCTTTCATATTGTAGTTTGATTTGTTGATATAAGGCTAATGGGGATCTTGGTGATATATTAGTGGTTGAGGATAATGAAGAGAGAGAGAGAGAGACAGTTACCAAAGAAGTAGGAAAGTTTCTGTATTCTTAGAGAACTCTTTTTAACTCTTAGATTTAAAATGTTTAAATATAAGCCACAAGATTTAAATTTAACTAAAGAACTTATTACTTTCAAAGCAGATCATATTATCTTGTAATTGTCTTAGAAATTTAAATTTAGTAAAATATTAATTTTTTTCATATTATGTCATTGTTGTTATTAAATATAAAAATAATTATATTTATTGGGTAAATTTAAAAACACTCTACCCAACACAAACATAATAAATAAATGCAGAAAAAGATTAAAAAAAAAACTATCTAATATCAAATTTGCAATGAATTTGTGAAATTACGAATATACTGTTCATATATTACATATCATTATCTTTTCATATAATATTTTTTCTAAATTAGGAGAGTTAAATTAAATAACTTAAATGTTCGACTTAAAATCTCCTTTTTTTCTTTTTTTTTTCTTTTTTGTAATACTAAACTAATTGTTCTAATATGTGTAACTAATCCTATATTATTTAATTTCATATACTAATAAATGTCACATTTATTTTATTTCATTATTTATAGAAAAGTACAGCTTTTTAATGTGTAATTTACATTAACCTTATTTCTGTGCTTAATTTTTTATTTATAGTTATTTAACCAGAAGTTTGATATGATACTGTTTACTAAATCTTTATTTAATAATGTAACTCAAGACGTATTAATATTTTGTACTTTTAATTTGTAATTTAATAAAACATATCCTAAATTCATGTATATGTTTTTAAAATAACCATATATATATATAAAATAAAAATATTCATTTAATTTTTTATTTAATTATATAAAAGTAATTTTCAAATTTATTAAATTTTAATGTTAACTTGAATTAATCCTACTTATTCTAGATTCTTTTCAATAATTTTTATAAATATAATTTTTATATTATTTACTTATAGAATCTATACAATAGAATTTATCCTTTTCTCAATATATTTTTATAAATTTTCTAAATGCAATATGATATCACATATATATATTATAATAATTATCTTTATTATTTAAAATTTTCTATCTTTGTGTAATTTAATCTCTTACCTTAATATAATATCAAATAATATTATATATAATTAAAAAAAGAAATCATAGGTATATATGATATAGGAGTTTTCTATAATATAATATCAAAGTAAATTTCTTTATTATGTATTGTAGTAAAAGCCTTTTTGTCAATACAAAATGCGCAAAAGAACTTACTTGTAAGCTGAACCAAAAGTTAGAAATAAAATAGTTAATTTTTAGAAGAGTAAGTATGGAGTAATTAATTATGCTATAGTATAGAGAAAAGATAGTAATTTTCTATAGTTTTATACACAAGCAAGGAATTTTCTTTTTTAAAATTTTTCTTTCACTTTATTTTTCCTTTTATTTTGTTTATTTTATGTTTTCATCTCTAATTCAAATATCGTATAAAAATAAATAGTCAATTGTGTTTAGAGAAAATTAAAAGAGAAAATAACTTTCTTTTTCGATCTATATGTTATTTCTCACTAGTTTTCTTGAATGTGCATTTCAAGTTGCTTGTACTCGTTGCAACTAAATGAAATTTAATTTATATATATTATTTTCTATTAGTTTTTTATTATATATAATATATATAAAAGTGGGAATGGATGTAGAAATATTGAGATTGTTAAAAATGCCCCTATTAAGTTTATAAATTAACAAAAATGTCATTAGATGGTTAGTAAAAAAGTAAAAGTAATTTAGTTTTGATTTGTTATATTAATTTCATATTTAAATCTGAATTCTATTGGATAAAATAAAAAATTATATTGGGGATGGGATGTAGAAATATTGAGATTGTTAAAAATGGCCCCCTATTTAAGTTTTATAAATTAAACAAAAAATGTCATTAGAATGGGTAGTAAAAAAAGTAAAAGTAAATTTAGTTTTGAATTTGTTTATAATAATTTCAATATTTAATCTGAATTCTATTGGGATAAAAATAAAAAATATATGTTATATAATATATTTATATATTATATATATAAATAATATAAATTAATATGAATAATACTATTCTGATTCCACTTTTTTTATAATTGGAACCAGCGAATTTTGAAACGAAATCAATATAAATATAATAAATATTAAATAAATAATATAATGTATATATTAAATATGGTAATATTTAACGGTAATATATACATATTAATATAATAATGTAAACAGAAATATATATGGTAGAAAAAATATATACATATTATATGTAAAATATAATAATATGGTAAACTACTTTATTCATGGATATTTAAATAAGGTATATAATTAAAATATGGTAGTATAAATTAAATATTTTTAAGGATTTTTAATTTTATTGGTGAAAAGTTAAAATTCGATTTGGATTATAATTAACTATGTAAGGAACATATTTTATATGGTTTAAAGAAATATAATATATTTAATAATTATTTTAATTAAATCTATTAAATTTTGGATTGCCGGCGGTTCCAGTCCGATTCCGACCGGTTCTCTGGAACTGCCGGTTCTGGTTCCTTATTTGCTGGAACCGGAACCGAACCGAATTTTTTCGGTTTCGATTCCGGTTTGTCCCGGTTTCGGTTCTCACCGGTTCCAGTTACGGTTCCGAGCCGGTTCGAACCGACGGTTCCGGTTCCCGGAACCATAATATGGCCATGACTAAGTGGAACTGGTGGCTTTGAAACTGAAAACATATAATATAATATAATATTAAATAAGGTGTATAATGTATATATTAAATACGGTAATATATACATATTATGTGATAATATATACCTATTATATGGTAAAATAATATAATATAGTAATATTGTGTGATGGATACTAAATAAGGTATATATTAACTATGGTAAGAATATAAAATCTTTAAAAATTTTAATTTTATTGGTTGAAAAATTGAAACACCCCGAATTTTTATTTTTGAAATCTTTGGATTTTTATTTAATTAAAAAATCGGGAATTTTGACCGTGTGGGCTGTAAATGTAATGGTTTAGAATATATATATTAATTATTATTTTTAAAAATCTTAATTTGATTGGGTTATAATTATTTCTACAAGTAATTATTTATAAGAAATAAATATAATTTATTGTTATTTATTAAGAAATTATATTGTATTTGATAATATATATATATATTATATATATATATTATATATATATATATATATATAATATTATATATATATAAAATGATGATAATACTATATTTTGATTCCACTTTTTTATAATTGGAACCTGCGATTTTTGAAACTGAAATTCATATATATATTATAATATTAAATAAGATATATAATGTATATATTAAATATGGTAATATTACGGTAATTATAACCATATTATATTAATAAATGTAAACAGATATATATTGGATAAAATATATACATATTATATGCGTAATATAATATAATATTGGTAACACTTTTTCATGGATATTAAATTAAAGGTAGTATATTAGAATATGGTACAGTATGATAATATTTTTAAGGATTTTTAATTTTATTGGTTAAAGTAATTCGATTTTGATCTATATTTATACCATGTAAGGAACATATTAATATGGTTAGAATATAATATATTTAATTATTATTTTAATAAATTTTTTAATTTGATTGGGTTATAATTATTTCCTACAGTAACTTATTTTATTAAGAAATAAATAATTTATTGTTATTTATTAAGAAATATATTATAAAGTTATATATATTAATATATATAATATATATATATATATACACACACCATGTTATATTAGCGAACCATATAATATATTGAAAGAATTTTTTTTTCAAAAAAGTAATAATAAAAATTAATTATATGCCCTTAGAATTTAGAAAAAATAAAATAAAAAAAGAAATACTAGAATTAAAATGATGCTCTAAAATAAAAATTAACATATTAATTATCATAATAACTAATATTTATTTCTCATATTTATTATTATATTATATATGAAAAAATTTATATGTTGATTAAAGTTAAATTGTTATGAGGAAATTTAAATTGATTGATAAGTAATTTTATTTCATTAACTTGATTGTCAAATTATAATAATGTTTTATTATTATAAATATGTTATTTCTTTAACAAGTTATTTAATTATTTTTAATTTTTAATTTTATTATTTCATAAAATGTTCTTTTTTCTTTATTTTATGAATGCTCTCATATTATTTTAGTAATATAAAATGTTCATATATTATAACTTGTAATAAGAAAATATATATAAAAATTAAGTTACATTTACTTGTAAAATGTTAAAATCTACGAGTACAAACAACATACAATACACGTTCAAAAAAATTAATAAAGTATAATATTATAAATAATTTACATTGTTGAATAATCTTTAATATAGCCCAGATCTATTGTTCATAGAATTTGTTTGACAAGAGTTCATAGAATTTGTTTGACAAGAATATACAATAATCGGAAGCGTACCTTGATCCATAACGGCAGATCTATGTTATGGGTTACCTCGTTGCGACAATTTGATTCTCACCGTAACAGCAGATCTACGTTTGTTCACTCTGGCCTTTTGTCCGTAAGTGCTCTCTTAATGGTCAGAGAATAATCAACACCTGTAGGAGTTTCTTTTATGAGCTCTCTC